GGTTTCCCTGCGAGGCAGGGCCCGTTCCACAGCAGAGGCCCGAATGTGAGGCAGAGACCAATGGAGAGGAACAAATTTGGATTTCAGGGCCTGCCAAGCAGGAGAAGCCAAAGGAACCTTGTACATACCCCGGACTCTCAGTTGAGAGTCCCCAGAGGGCAACTCCCTGAAAGAAAAGGGAAGCCAGAAGTCCAGCCTGGTACCACTCGGTCCTCTTTAGATTAAGTGGTCTGCCCCCAGGAACAAAGCAAATCCTCTAAAAGAAAAAGCATAGGACTGGAGTCTCAGTGCCCACCGTTCAATAATCAATAGCCACAGAGTCAGGCGTGGCGGTGCTGCCTATAATCCCAGCAGTTTGGTGATGTTCAAGGCCAGCCTCAGCAATTTAGTGAGGGCTTAAGCAAAATAATATGAGACCCTGTCTCAAAATTTTAAAAAATTTAAAAAGGGACTGAGGATATGGCTCAGTGGTTAAGTGCCCCTGGGACCAACTCTGGTACCAAATAAACAATAATCGAGACTGAGCAATTAAAAGAAGAGAAACTAGCACACACACTGGCAAGAGATCACCGCATTGCATTCCAAGACAGACTGGATAGAACCGTGATAACTGTAATTAATATGTTTAAGAAATTAATTGCTATGATAGAAAATTTCATGTGGGACTTGGAGGCTATTATTAAACGGAAAAGTAGAACTGAAAAATAAAAGTGAACTTGAGAACTGATGGGTTTAAAAAGAGATTAAATACAGTTGAAGGGAGAATTTGTAAGCTACCAAATAAGCCAAAATAAAACCCCAAAGTAAAGCCCAGAGAGACCGAAGGCTGGTGAACACAGGACGGAGTGTTAGCGACCAGGTGACACCTGCCAAGGTCTATTGCTCCAGATGCCATAAAAATTCTCCAGGCTGGGGCTCAAGCAACTGGGATTGACTTCTCATGGTTCTGGAGGCTGAAGTCTAAGGTCAAGGAGAGCAGGTGTGTTTCTTTGGTGACCTCCCTGCTTGGCTTGCCAATGGCCCCCTTCTAGCTATGTCCTCATGTGACCTGTTTTCTATGCGTGTGCATCCGTGGGCTCCCTCATTGTGTGTGAAAATTTCCTCTTATAAAGACACCAGTCGTGATGGATTAGGAACATGCCTGGGACCTCGCTGAATCACCCCTTTAAAAGTCCCATCTCCAAACACAGTTGCAGTCCGAGGTCCTGGGGCTCAGGGCTTCAGCACGTGCATTTCTGTGTACACAGTTCAATCCATAAAACAGGCACCAGATATGGTTTCAAAAAGGAAAGAAGAAAGAGAAAATACTGGAAATAATATTTAAAGAGAATTAAATGAAATGAAATTTTATGAACCTTACAAAAGACTTCAAGCTAGAGTTTTAAGAAATGCCCAGCAAGATAAAGACAAATAAAAACTCACCTAGGCACAGACCAGGAAAGTAACTGAACACTAAAGACAAAGAGCATCGGGTATGAGCCCCAGGGACAGGGCAGACTACCACTTTCAAAGGACAATGAGGTCTACAGCTAACTTCTCATGGTAATGGTGGAGACGATGGAATAAGATCTTAAAAGAGGTGAAATTAAAAAAAAATCCCTAAGGTGGAATTTGATACACTGTGAAAATATTCTTAAAAAGTGAAGACAAGCTGTTGTTTGGGCAGAGCACCTTCTCTCCTGGGTAGCTTCTAATGAGCCTGTCTTCTCGGGCCTGCCCCAGAGATTCCTCCACAAGCTTCTGATCCACTTGAGACTGAGAATAATAACTTCAGCCCTCTCCAAAGGACTAAGCGTAGCCAAAGCATGTCCTACGTGATCCCAACGTGTCTCCAGGGCATATGCCGAAGGTCGGCACCCAGAAGGCACTTAAGGACCCGGTGGTTGGGTCAACAGAGGGTTACCTTCCACAGATGGGGCTCCCGGCCCTCCTCACCTTTGCGCGCTGACCACCAGAGGGCGCTGTAACCTGAGAAATCACACAACTGATTTCCCGGGACAGCGGCAGATTCAGTGCAGCCACCCCTCATTCCCAGGCATAGGTACCTTTTAAGTCCCCCCAGCGAATGCCTGAAAATGTGGCTAGCACCAAGCCCTATCTACACTATCCTTTTTCCTATCCATATATCCCCACTTGTCGTGCCTTTTGCATATTAACTAAGTACTTAACCCTGCACACAGTGGCTATGACTTTGAAAGTCTGAGTTGCAACAGGAAAACCAGCATGTGTCCACTCGGAGCCATTGGACAACGTCACCACTTCACCGGTAGATCTTATTACTGTAGATCTTAGCAACCTCAGCATACAGGTTTTTTCTTATTATTAAATTAGGAACATTCAACTTTTCACCAAAGGAAGCACTTTATGGCTGTTCTTTAGCATATCTAGTTGCCAGCATCACTGCTCTTGTGCTCTGGGGCCATTATTAAGCCAGATAAGGGTTACTGAACACAAGCACTGATACCACAATAGTTGACCTGATAATCAAAATGGCTACTAAATGGAGAACGGGTGGGTAACATATACAAAGTGGATACATTGGACAAAATGATGATATCCCAGCCATACTCAGAAGGGTGCACAATTTAAAACTTATAAATTATTTATTTCTGGAATTTTCCACGTAATGTTTTCTGACCATGATTGACTGTGGGTAAGTGTAATCATGGAAAATAAGACTACTGGAGCTGGGGTGGGGTGCTCCCAAATAGAGGGATGGGCTGGGTGCCTGGGCTCTCCTGCCAGGAGTGAACACTGCAGGCAGCCGGGGACATAACCCTGGTTTGATCCCTCCCCTGTGGCTTCCCAGCTATGACCAATGCACCTTGCCCCTCAGGGGGATGGCAAAAATCCATGCTGCCCCCATGGGAACTGGAGCCCAAGAGTCTAGGGAAGGAACAGATTATTTGTTCAATAAACATTCGTGGAAGGAGCCAGACTGAAAAGGGACTTCTGAATGAGAAAGAAAAACAAATTCTGGTCCCTTACACTCTTTTGCCCTTCAACTCTTAAAATTCTGAGAGGTGGGTAGGCACTGCTGTTCTCCATGTTTGCAGATACGGGAACCGGCGCAGCTGCAGCTAGAGGAGCTAGATGACCCCTTTCCACCCCCTGGTCCCCCTTGGACACCCATGCTCCTGGCTTCCTCAGGCCTCTGGCTTGCCTGCTCTGGGGTCCCACCCAGACCTTCCAGCTCAGAGATTCGAGTCTGGGCCCCCAGATTTGCCTCTTTCAGTGTATTCCATGGCGTTCAGGTTACAATCCGCCTGAGATCCCCAGTCTGTACCAGCCTTTCCTGGGGTGGAGGGAGCCACCTGCTGGTAGGAGACCCCAGGGATCGGCATGAGAAATCAGGCTGCTCCCTGGGAGAGGTGAGGCTGCATCCCTGGTGGGCAGGGACCCGTGGGTAAGAAAAACCCATGGATGTCTTGCAGTCCCTGTGTCCACTCGGAGCCGTTGGACAGTCCCAAGGCAGCAGGGGCCTGGAGGGAGCTCATACCTGCCCAGGGAGACCACCAACAGTGCAGATGTCCAGGCCCCTCCCCACACCTCCAGGGATAGGCCTGGAAGCTACCATCTGCACAGACCCGCGGCCTCTGCTCTAGAGCTCTGGGCATGCAAGTCTTCAGAGCAGCCAGGCCTGAGCAGGAAATATCCTGCCTCTTGTGATTCTGTGACTTGTCACACACCTGTCCCCTCTTTGACCCTGAGATTGCCCCCAAACAGAAGGAAGTACTGAGGGGAAAAGTGAGAGTGCTCTTGGGAGTCAGAAGTGGCTCTGGACAGTAAAGGGGAAGTCAGGCTGGAGAGGTGGGGGAGCCCAGGTCAAGGGCATGGATCCTCAGGGGGTGGACTTGGTCCCTAGGGCAAAGGGCAGCCGTGGAAGAGGTTACCCAGGATAGAGACCATCAGGCTTGGCCTCTCCGATGCTGAGCCTGAGGGGCTGAGCTGACAGGAACTGCGTCCCCTGGTGAAGCTCCCTGTGTCCAAACCGCTGCCCTGCCCGTGACACCCACACCCACGGCTGCGGCACTTTAGCCTAGTATCAGCCTGCCAGCCTCTCAGGGTCCTCATTGTCAAAGGAAGATGCGGGGATTGCTACTGAGGGTTGACGAAGAGGATCCAAGTGAAGCCCACGGCTGGAGGGACTGTCCACAGTAGCCATGATGGTCCATCAGTGAGTGGTCAACGGAGCCACGCCACCTGGGCAGTGCAATGGCTTGTGGAGACCAAAAGCAGTGTGGGGGGAGGGGCAAGCGCAGCAGACCCCTCCCCTCCTCTCCCCTGCTGCCCATGGCACCTGCAGAGAAGGACGTCTGGGAGCCTGTCCACCCGTCCATCCCTGTGCCCTCTGCCAGGCCAGCTCACGTGACCCAGCTTCCTGTTTGGGATGCCAGGGCAGGAGGGAGGAAACGGGCCTCGCCCTGGGGCTGGAGCCGGAATGCGGCCTGCTGACGCCACACTGTGTCCTAGTTCTGGGGAAGTCGGACGGGAGGGGCTTCCTGCTGAGCCTTTGATCCCAGGCCTGTTCTGGGAGCTAGCGCCCCCCAGTCCAGCAACCCGAGCTTTCCTGCTGGACGCCATGGGATGAGCTCAGGTCCTCCTCCAGCACAGCCGTGGCCTGGGCAGAGAGCTGGCCTCCAAGCCTCAGTTTCCTCGTCCCTAAGGTGGCAAAGGGAATGAGCAGGAAACCCTGGCCTTCTCCAGGTGCATGAAGCTCCTACTGTGTGCTGTTCCTCGCGGACAGAAGGATGCAAGCCCTCCGCCTGATGCCTGCCTGGGGAGACCGGCTCCTGTCCCCGGCTGGTGGGCAGACAGGTGTGGAGCCTTTTTGGGGGTGGCTGGGAGCAGGTTCCTGGCACAGGGGCTGTGACTCAGCTGAAGCCTGCGCCCAGGCACTTCCTGGCCCCGTGACTCAGTTTCCCCAACTCTGCAAGGCGCCGGAGCGGCGCCTGCCTCGCGGCCTAGAGGAGGCGGGGGGGGGGGGGGGGGGCTGCCCGCTATCTGCGGGGTCCTTCACAGGGGGCCACGTGGGCTCTGGGCTCATCGTCCATGCTCTCCCTGGATTCTCGGCTGAGCTGGAGAGGTCCAGGCTGTGACTGGTCCCGTTTACAGAGGTCAAGGAGTTGCCCATGGAGCCTGAGAGTGGCCGAGTAGCAAGAGCGCTGTCCTGCTGACGGCTGCCCTCCATGGACGCTCCTCCTGGCGGCAGGGCCTCGGCCCTAGACAGGCCATCACTGCAGGGCATGTTCCTGGGATCTGTCCCACAGAGGGTCCCTGCCCCCTGCCTCAGGCAGAGGGTGACGCTGGCTGTGGAAACCTGGGCATAGGCCCACCTTCCCTTCTTCAGGGGTCCCCTGTGTCCCCTGGGAGCCAGGTCTAGATTAGGCTCCTCCACACACACTCCCTGGAAGGCGGGTCCAGGTTGTCCCCCCCGCTAGGAGCTTGGACCAGCTTCCCCAGCTTGGACCATGGCCGAGGGTGTGCGTGTTGGAGAGACCAGAAGATGTCCCAAGGAGGGCAAGGCCTGGGGACCGCAGGGGCGCCTGGAGTGGCTGTGGTGGCCTTCCTGGAGTCTGCTGGGGCCTCCCCTCTCTCCTCCCACCCTCCCCTTCCCTCTCTCTTCCCCCAGGAGACTGCTCGGCCCCACCTGGGTCCAGAGAGACTGGCTAGAATCCTGACCTGGCCTCCCCTAGCAGTCCCCTAGCCGTGGGACGTGGGCCACGCCACTCTTTCTCTGAGCCTCGGCTTCCTTGTCCACCAACCCAGAAGCGTGAGCATCATGGCAGCCACATTTTGGGGTGGCTGGAGATGAAGGCAGCGTGTCTGTAGAGGCCTCGTTCTGACATTTAGCCGCCATTGAATAGGTCACGGCTGTTGCTATCCGGTCCTTGCTGGCATTTATGTCCAGCCCACAGGAGGGGCCTGTGGTGCCTTCCCCAGGAGCACGGCAGGGGGCAGCAGAGCCCCTCCTTGGCGGCCAGGTGCTCGCTCTTCTGGGTAGGCAGAGCTTCACCCCGTGGGTGAGCCTGGACTTGAGGGTGGAGCCCTGGAGGACTTCAGACCTGCCATCACGTCAGCACTTGGGTCCTGAGCACCCAGCTGTGTCCCCACCACTGGGAAGAGGCAGAAGCGGAGGCATGGGGCTCCCTCCCGCCAGCCCTCCTGGCCCCCCAGGGCTCTCAGCTCCCTCCTCTTCCACCCTTCCTTTCCTCCTCCTTCCTCTCAGCTCCATGCAGTGCACACCTGCTGTGCCCCGTGCCCCGTGCCCCGTGCCCCACGCTAGGGACCTGAGACAGGGAACAGCACCGCAGCTGTGCCCTCTGGAACCTCCCGACTCAAGCAGAGAAGATAATAAGCAAATGGATAAAAGAGAGAAGAAAGAGCCCTATGGATCCTGGCAGCCCAGACCAATCAGAACAGTGGGTGAGGAGGGGGCAGGGTGTGGGCAGCAGAGGAGCAGCTGGGGCCAAGGTCCTTGTGCCACCTGACACGGTGGTGGGGAGGAGGGAGAGCGGCACAGACTGCAGGTCAGCTCACCTGCAGCAAGACTACTGCCAACATTAACTGAGCACTTACTACACTGCAGGCACCTGGACTGTCCTGTTTTACAGATGAGAAAATTGAGGGGACACAGCCAACGTGGGGGCTTCGGGGTCCTGGGAGGCCAAGGGAAGGAGACGGAACAAGAAAAAGCCACACTTCGGTGGCCTGTCGGGGTGCTGGCACCCCCCTGGGTCACTCGGTGTTATTTAATGTGAATCATCCTCATCACTGAGAGGACTTCAGAAGGAATGGAATCGGGGTCTCACAGGGAGGTGACCTGCCCGAGGTCATAGTCAGCAAGTGGCAGACCTGAGACGGAACCCAGGTCTCCCAAGTTGGCAGGTGTGTCCCTGTGCCCCAAAGCCTGGAGTCCCCCGGGGCCTGCGGGTCCCTGCTGCAGCTCCCAAGGAACCCTGAGCCCACCCACCGGAGGCCCAGCTGCATCTCACCAGGCCCTGCCCACTGCCCACTGCCCTACTCCCAGGAACCCTGTCACCTCTCCCTGGTGGCTCGACCCCGTTTCCTTCCCTCATGATGCTGTGACAACCTGAGGTTACTGTTTACTTGGGTGGGTTGTCTCCCCCACCAGAGTGCACCCCAGCCCCAGGGAACCCCAGCCTCAGGCCTCAGCCCGAGCCCCACAGCCCGCACATGCCACCCTGACAGGTCATTCATCCTCCTTCCTGTCCCCGAGCCTGGCCCTGGGCATGGTGCAGAGGAAGGGCTCAGTGAAGGTGGACGGATGGAGGGACAGGTGATGGGCAGATGAAGGATGGATGGATGGATGAAAGACTATTGGCCTGAGCTTGTGCTGGCCCTGTGACCCACAGGAAGGTCAGAGAAGAGACAGCAGTGGGGGCCCAGGCAGCGGGTCCTCCTGTGGGGGGCATCCAGGGCAGGGGCCGTGTCAGGGCCAAGGACCAGGCCGACAGCCATTCTGGCCACACCCCATCACACGTGCAGAGCCAGTATGGGGGGACCCCAGGGTGCGACCCCGGGAGCGTCTCCTGGACAGAGCAGGGACAGGCTGGAATCCTCGGGGCTGGAGCAGGAGACCGAGCTCACCAAGGGTTGGCCTGGGCAGGCAGCTATGGGACCTGAGCCCAGGCAGGGCCCTGGACAAGGCTGCTGGCCCTCTCTGGGACACCATGATTGGCTTCAGCGGGGTCCTCAAGCCTCTGGGACACTGCCTGCGGTGCTTCCAGAAGACACACATCAGCCAGAAATGGCAGAGCTAGGCTAGGGGCCTGGAGGGAGGTGACTCAGGGCCCTGGTCTTTGCTTAGTGTGACGGGCGGTGCCTCTTTCTTGGAAGTCAGGCTCACAGGTGGCTCCAGGTGGAGGTAGGGGGTCAAATGCCTCTGGAGGGAGGGTGGAGTTGAGGGACCAGACCCACTGCAGGCGCCAGGCCTGTGCCTCTGAGCTGGCCGCCAGCACCTGGTGGGACCTTCCCAAGCGCAGTCTGACATGCCAGGCTGTTCGTGGGTGCTTCGGCCGCTTCCTGTGGTTCAGGGTCCCACGCCAGACCTGGACTTGGCCCCCGTCCCTTCACCTATGACACCTACCCACCTCTCCAGTCCTGCGTCCCTCAGCCCCCTGCCCAGCCCCTCACCCTCTGCCACCTGACATGCGCAGCTTTTCCTGAACAGACAGACCACCTCCTCTCTAAGGTCCCTGCTCCGCCATGCGCTGCGTGCCTGCGTGGGGTCACCTTCCCAGGACACTGCTCCCATGCTTCCCCTGCTGGACTGAAGGCCTGGCTCTGGCCCCACGGCCTCAGGTGGTGGGTCAGCCCCAGCCTGGCCGCTCCCATCACAAGCTGAGCCGGCCACCGGGTGACCCACTCCAGGAGGCCTGGCAGGGGCTTGCGCACGGGCACCCGGCTAGAGGAGGGCAGGGGCGCCTCCTGGGGGAGCCTGGGCTGGAATCCAGAGTCCCAGGTGGAGAAAACGTGGGAGCAGCCAGCCTCAGAAGCAGCTAATGAGGGCTGCGAGACCCATGTCCTGTCCACCCACCCCAAGTCCACGTCAGCCTGCGCTGCCAAGGCGGCCATGGCCCGCCGTCCCTCCCAGCGGCCGACATTGCAACACCATTCAGGAATCCATGGGTAGTTGTTCTGATTGGACATTCTGGGTCACATGACTGGGAGGACAGCATTGAAGGCGGGTTGCACCCAGCAGAGCTCGACCTTGGCCTTGAGAGGGGTGGTTTCAAGGCAGCCCCCAGGCAGGCAGCTGCCAAGGAGAGGGGTGACCTCCAGGACCTGTGTTCACACTCTGCCCTGCTCTGAGCGGTGTGGCCTCGCGGCCTCGCGTGGGCCTCCACTCTTGCCTTACGCCACCAGAGGCTCACGTGGACTTGGACCCTCACAGCACACCAGGCACTTGAGCCGTCCCAGACCCACCTGAGACCCTGCCAGCTCCTTTCCTCTCTGGGCCTCAGTGTTCCCCTCACAAAAGGGGTGTGACCAAAAGCACTGATTCCAGAGTTTCGCATCTCAACTGTGCAAACTGGGGCACTACATAGACTTCTCTGGGCCTCAGTCCCCTCACCTGTATAACAGATCATAAAGTTTCCACCCCATAGAATCATTGCAAAAATTCCAACGAGTCAAATGGGTATAAAACACGTGGCTCGAGGCTGGCACAAAGTAAAGCTTATTGAGTTGGATAAATAAAAGCAGAGCGTGGTTACCCCCCAACTCGGCCATCAAACTGTGGCAATTTGATGATTTTTGCGAAATCTGGAGAACACTCGTTCCAAAACGTAATCCCTGTTGTTCATTGGTTCAGTGACTAAACAGATCCTGGAAGGAAATGTTAGACTCGCCACCCCAAGTGGAAAACCGGAGTCACTTCCCACGGGGAGAAGGTCGTTATGAAGATGAACACAGCCAATGTTCACCGTGCGTGGGGCTGTCTGCCAAGCAGCCGCCAGCGTCAACTCGCTCGTCCCCACGGCAACCCTGTGAGAGGGACACCACTCTATCATCGTCACGTATGTGGGGAAACTGAGGCAGAGCTGTCGGAAGTCACTTGACAGGTCCCAGATGGAAAGCAGCAGGCCCCAAGACACAGCTGGAGCAGAGGAACGCACAGAACTCCCCAGGGAGACGGACACGTGGAGAGGCAGGGGGGCCACAGCAGCACCAGCCCGAGACGTCCCCTTGGATGGTCAGAGGACCAAGGAGACCCAGAAGAATGACGTTCTCACTGTGTGATTTGCTGCTCTTTAAGGCCATGCCTGCGCCAGACGACTCTGCAGCATGCAGGCTACGCCTCTGAAGCAGGAGGGGACCCAGAAGCACTGACCATTTCTACCTCCCCTCCCTGGCATTTTTAGCTTAGGACACTGTCCAAACTCAAGGCGAGTCAATGAGGGGATTAAGAAAGGCTTTAGTGCCCATTGATAAAAATGGGCAAAATCCTGGAATTAAATACACCCGTGTATCACTTAGTAACAGGGATGCATCCTGAGAAAAGTAGTCGTAAGTGATCGAGTGGATGCTGGAACATCAGAGTGTGTGCTCACGTAAACTAAGACAGCTCTGACATCACCAGGCTGCTAGCTTTCCAGTACTGTAACAAAATACCTGAGTTGATCAACTAAAAAAGAGAAAAGGTTTTTGGCTCACAGTTTGGGTGGTGTCAGCTCACTGTCAGGGAGACCTGTTGCTTTGGGGCCTGGGTGAGGCAGCACGTCATGGCAGGGAGCATGTGCAGAGCAGGCTGCTCACAAGATGTGGGAGACAGAGAAAGAGAAATGCTGTGGCATCTCATGATCCCCTTGGAGGGCCTGAGACCACCCCCTAGGCGTCCCTCTTAAAGCCCCACCACCACCCTGTGGCACCAAGCTGGGGACCAAACCATTGCCACCAGGGGACACTTACCAAACAATAGCACTGAGCAAGACAGCAGATACATCACTGTGGTGGGGATCAGGGCTGCCACCAAGGGAAAAGCACACAGGGAAGGGGACGGTGGGGAGCCCAGGCTGGGACCTGAGTGGACATTTGCTCTCATGGCTTAAATACACTGGAGCACCCGCGAGGGCTGAGCTCCGGCTCCGTCTGCTGCGACGACCTGGAACCTCTGTCACCCAGCATCAGGGAGCCCACCGGCCCCCCAACCCCACTTCCTCAATATCTCTGCCCCAGTGAGCAGGGCACTCTGGGAAGTGGACAGTCCCGAGGCCAACGCAGGACACACAGGGACGCCGCGAGCTTCAGTATGGGCAGAACCTAAGGAGGTGGCCAGAGAAGGCCAGGGGTGCAGTGGAGACACCAGGGCCAGCTGGAGCAGCCTGAGCGCCGAGGGGCACGGAGCTTGGCCACCTGAGTGGATCAGAGCACAGGGTGTCACACAGGACCCGCAGACGCAGCCCGGTGACAGAGAATGAAAGCAGGGAGAGGAAGGAAGGAGGAGCCGGAGGAGGGGGGAGCCCGGGAGAAGCTCCTCCTGCTGAAGGGAAAGAAGACCCGGGTCTGTCCCAAGGCCACCGACCACAGGCAAAGCCAGCCTCTGACCTCCGGGATGCGGGATGGCAGTCGGTATGTTTATCAGAAAATCTTTTTTTATTTGTCTGCAGCACCTCAGTCTGGTCTCGGGGAAGCAACCTGACCAACGTCCCCAAGGCTGTGCCACCAACCAGGAAGCTGTGCCACCAACCAGGCAGCTGTGCCCTGCAGAGGTGTCAAGGTCATGCCACAGGAAGGGGCAGAGGACGCAGCTATCTGTTCACAGAGAAAAGAAAGCAGCGCTGAGGAGCAGCTCTATCCTGGGCAGGGCCCTGGGGGCAAGATGAAGGCTGCTGAGGGGCAACCCAGCGCCCACGCAGGCCACCCGGCATCGGGACTGCGTCACCAGCTGGGATGGCTGCTCAGGGGTTCCGCTGAAGAGCCACGGGGCCCACAGATGGCGCTCGAAGAGCCATGCAGGAGTCCATGTGCAGGAAAGAACAGGGTCAACACAGGAACCGCTGGCCCATTTAGGGCAGGGCTCCCAATCTGTCGCCACTGACAACGGACCAGATCAATATTTGATTAATGTCACTAGTTTTTATTAATTATTTTTTAATTTGTTCTAATTGGTCATAAATGACAGTGGAACGCACTTTGTCACCTGATACATAAATGGAGCACAACTTCTCACTCTTCGGGTTGTACATGCTCTAGATTCACACGGGTCGTGTAGTCACATATGCACATGGGTGATAATTGTCCCCTTCATTATACTGTCCTTCCTTCCCCCCACCTCCTCCCCTCTGCCTAACCCAACGTACCTCTGCTCTTCCCTAGCCACCCCCCTCCTTATTGTGAATTAGCATCTGCATGTCAGAGAAAACATTCAGCCTTCGGGTTTGGGGGATTGGTTTATTTCACTTAGCATGATACTCTCCAGCTCCATCCATTTACCGGCAAAGGCCATAATTCCATTCTTCTTTAAGGCTGAGTAGTATTCCGTTGTGTACATACACCACATTTTCTTTATCCATTCATCTGTTGAAGGGTATCTAGGTTGGTTCTATGGTTCAGCTATTGTGAATTGAGTTGCTATAAACATTGATGTGGCTGCGTCACTGTAGTGTGCTGATTTTAAGTTATTTAGGACAGCTGGGTCAAACGATGGTTCCACTTCAAGTTTTCTGAGCAATCTCCATAATTAGCAACATCCCCAGCCTCTACCCACTGGAGGCCAGCAGCACCCCCAGTTCTAACACTCCAAGTGCCTCAGACACATCCCTGGGAGGCACACAGCTTCTGCCTGAGAACCCCAGTCCGGGCAAAAACCGAGAGGTGGTAGCGTGGGCTGGGCTGGGCTGGGGCTCAGTGGTAGAGCACTTGCCTGGCATGTGTGAGGCAGAAAAAAGGAGCAGTGCCTAGTGAGCTATTGCGACTTTTGCAAATTTTCCAGATAAAACATTCTCATCAATTGACCCCCCCCCCCCGCTGAGAAAGATGGCCTTGAGTGGTGAGGGCGTCCTCCAGCTGGTGAGTAGGAGGGCAGGGCAGGAAGGCAGGTGGGTGCCAGCCGACCCTCAGCAGCTCAGCAGTGGGGGAAAGAGCACAGTGTGGCCTGGCACCTGGGCGCCCTTTAAATCTCAGGGCCAAGATAGCTGAAGGCAGGCCAGGCCAGGCGGGGGGAACAGCACGGCTGGCAGAGGGACGGCCAGCACAAAGCCTCAGAGCTAGACTTCACCTGGCCCATCCTGGAGGCCGTGTGGCCCGAGCAAGGGGAGAGGAGTGGGAGGGCAGGCAAGCAGGGACAGGCCACAGGGGCGGGCCACAGGGAGGGGTCACAGGGGCAAGCCACAGGGAAGGGCCACTTGGGAAGGGCCACAGGGAAGGGCCACAGGGACGGGGGTGGACTTGGCTTTGCCACCTCGACTGAGGCAGGAGCTGCTGCAGGGCCTGAGGATGGCTGTCAGAAAAAGGCAGAGGTGGGCAGCTCCCGTGTGTGCCGGGAGAGCCGAGGTTCTAGACAGGAGGCCAACGACAGAATGACATCACCCATCCCAGAAGCATCTGAAGGCAGAGCCGATGGCGCTTCCTGTGGCCCAGGTCTGGGTGCGAAAGAAGAGCCAGGGTGTCTGCAGTTTCTGCTCCCGGCCTCCAGAAGGCTAGAGGTGTCAGCCCCACAGATAAGGAGACTCAGGCCAGGGAGAAGCAACCTGCCAAGGTCACACGCAGGCCACTGGCCCAGCTGGGGTCCAATCCTGGATCCCTGGCTGTGGAGCCTCTGAGCTCCCTCACCTGCCCGCCCCCCAGCCTGCCACGGTGCCCCAAGAGCAAGAGAGAGAAGTAAGGAGTCACCCCTGGTCTTAGAACATGATGGCTACCAGGGCCAAGAGGAGGCACAAGCCTCGGGGCCCGGCTTCGGCTTACAAAGCACCCCACTGCCATGACAGCGGGCCCTGGGACCTCCCCGGGTCTCACTTTCCCAAGCGTAAAACAGAGGAAATGACAGGAACTGCCACTGTTTACAAAGTAGGGCCTGGACTTGCTCCACATTATCCTACCAACAACCCTACAAGGTGGGAGCTGTTATCCCTGTTTCCCTGATGAAGAGAACCTGATGGTCAGACAGGCCCACAGCTAAAAAACCCACAGTGCTGGGATTTGAACCAGAATCAAATAGGCCCTGGGTGCTAACAGCTGCTTTGCCCCACCCAGGCTGTCCAGAGAGGGCACGCAGGGGGCCTTCAGCCATGCACATCCCTTCTCCCTCCCCCCCTCCCCACCCATGGTCGAGTGCGGGGCCTCAGCCTGTTTGCCAGACAGACTCCCAGGGAGGCTGGTGTTGTACTGAGGTGCTGAGGCCCAGCTGCCTGTGGCTTGGAGGGCTTTGGCCTCCTCCAGCTGTCTCCCGCTGGGTCCCAGGGATGGGGACAGCCCCTTTAGGCATGGCATGGAGGCTCCCCTGCCCCCACGCGGCTGCGGGTGCTGTTGCCATGGAGAGGGGCCACACGCATGGCCTCCACGGTATCTGGGCAACAGAGCTGGTGGGGCTCCGCCTCACCCCAGCCCAGGCCTGGGCACGTTGTGGGCAGGTGGGGGCGGGGCCTGGGGACTCCGAGGCTCCACGCAGCCTGGGAGAGCAGGGTGCCCAGCATGCACACCTCTGCGCCTCCTTCCCGACCCTCCGAGGAGTGGCCACCAGTCTTAATCTGTGGCAGGAGGCCGCGTGCCTGTGCAGGCCAAGCTAGGAGGAGAGGCAGGGCCGGGCCTGGCACCTCCAAGCCGCTGCCCTTTGCCGTCACTGGCCTCTGCCTGCGCCCAGCGTAAGGATTGTCCACTGGGCTCACGATCCCCATCCGTGACTCCCAAGCCTTGAAACCCCCGAGGTTCTCATAGATTTGTCCCCAAAGCTCATTTGGCAAGTCCCAGCCCCCTACTTACTAGCCCTGAGGTCGTGGCAAGTAATTTCAACCTTCCGAGCCTAGTTCTGACATCTGTAAAGTGGGACGATACTGTCCTCACCCACTGCCACGAGGTCCCCAGTGCCCCAGGAGGTCCTGATGCGTGCTCTCGAAGGCCTCCACCCTACTGCGTCGCTTCCCTCCTCCACGACCTCCCATGGCTCCCTGTGGCCTCCTGCGTGGAGGCCAAAAGCCTCACGTGACCAAGCTGACGGGAAGCTCCTGACTGGTGTCTTTATTTTTTCCACTTTGAAGTATTTACACACGTGGGTGGAGAGGCGTCAGTGTGTTCATGGAGAAGCCCCTCACTGGTGCGCGGTGGTAAGTAGTTTGTCTCCCTTTCTCGAACCTAGGACACTCAGACTTCTGGAACCTCTGCCCTAGAGTGCCCTGAGGGCCTGGGACGTGGACTCCAGGCCCGGGCATTCTAGGGCTCCTGCCGTGTGAGGGCATCGGGCAGGGCACTGAGATCTGGTGGTCTTACTCCACCCTCTCAGTGACCAAGGCACAGACGCAGTGTCACCTGGAGGGCGGGGGGTGAGGATCCGAGGCTCCCAGCAGTTCGTAGGGTGAGGGTGGAGCCTGAACCTCGGACGGTTACCTGGGGCCACACACGGACAGCAAAGGCCATCATTTCTCCTGCTCTCTCTGCTGTCTGCCAGGCTGCCACGGTCCAGCTCCCAGGTCCACGGCAGGAGTCCAGGCGCTGCCCCCCAGCAGCTCTGGCCTGACTGAACACGGCGGCACCCCTCAGCCTGGGCCAGCAGGAGAGGCTTCGGATGCTGCTGGGGTCTTTGGGCTTTATCCAGACATCAAGGGGAGCCATGCAAGGCTTCAGAGCTGAGAAGCAGGACAGTGAGATGGATGCCTCGAAAGAGAGGTGGACACCTTGGTCCTGGCGCACCTTCCAATCCCCGGTTGCACGCAGAGCCCAGCACCCCAGCCCCAGAGCACCCACTCAGCCGGCCAGGGCAGGCAGGGGGGTCTCACTTCTGACAGGTTCCAGGTGGGATGTGCGGGGACCAGAATCGGAGAACCGATTCTGTAGAACCTGGCAGTGGGGAGGGAACCAGGCTGCCTGGCACGTGCCCGCCAGGAAGCCCTGCTGGTCACCTAGTGCTCCGCGCTGTTCCCCTCGCACACACGTGGCAGGACCCTGAGCCGGTGAGAGGGCACCTCCTAAGCAGCCTCCAGCAGGGCCGGCTGATCCAGGCACTGCCCCCTCCAGCCCCCAGGCAGGGGGACAGTGAGCCAGGCCACACTAAGAGCAGGCTGCTCTGGCCCTCACCAGCTGAGGCCAACAGATGGGCACTGCCCGTTCCTGGCCTCCAAAGGTGGAAGAAGCGAACATCTGCCCGACTCCGGGTCCCTGGCAGGACTCCAGCAGTTGAGCTGACCCAGCAGTGCTGCTGATGGAGGGGGGCTCACGTCAGCCCAGGAACCCCGGCCCGAGGACCCCGGGTCCGAGGACCCCCGACCTGGCCTCGAGTCCTGCAAATGGCTGCACGAGAGCATCCAACCACTTCCCTCGAGGTCCCTGTCCTCCAGTGGGGTCTTGTCCTCAGCAGCCCTTGGAGGTACCCAGCCTGGACGTGGCTCTTCTCTCTGAACCCACCAGATGGGACAGCACTGGAGGGACAGGGACCAGGGGCTGGACTTTTCCATAGGCTTCAGACATTTGGTGACAGTCACGCTGGCCCAGGGAGTGCAAGACTGGGAGGAGAAGGGGAGCAGGGCTGGGAACAGGGTCAGGCGCGGCTCCTCCTGGCCATCCAGATGTGACGGTGGAGAAGGGGAGCCGAGGCTGGCCCAGCAATGCCCAGTGGTCTGGACCTACTGACACTCAGGCCCCGTCCCTGTGGGCAGCCGGCGAGGCCGGGGGTCTGGAAGTCCCAACCTTCGGCAGAGCAGACCAAGACAGCCCCCCCGCTCCAGGGCACTCGTGGGGAGCGGGGTCCAGCCCTTGCGGGTGGCCTGCTGGCTCCACCTCCGGTGCCACCAGTGGGGTGGCCAGAGAGGGCTGCTCCCAGAGAGGTGGCCCTGCAGCCACCAGAGGGCAGGTTCCTGGCCCGGGGCCCCTGGAAAGCACATGGGGCGCAGATGGCTCTGCTGAGCCTGCAGGGCGGTGCTGTGGCCTGCTCTGCCGCCCAGGCCTGGGTTTTTCCCCCTGGGTTTCGTGTTCTGACGGGAACCCGCGGATCTGGAGTGAGTCCACTGCAGCCCCAGCATTCCAGAGCGAGTTACGCGGGCTGGCGCTGCTCCTGGGCCCTGCGAGTCCACACCCTCCCCAGCTGCCGAGCAGAGTCACAGGCCTGCGCCCTCAGGAATCTGCAGAACTTTCTAGAAGCTGACTTCCCTTCCAGTGGGAGGAAACAGTCTCTGGGGTTGATTCCAAATTCTGCTTCTTGGTTCCGCAGCACCTTCTCCACACTCTGTTCCAAAAGTCACCCCAGCTTCCTGCCCCACCAAGGGCTGCCTGTCCCTGAGCCAGCCAGACTAGACGTCCCCAGCTCTCCCAGGACCAGGGGTCACCTCTTCCCCTGCATCTCCTCCCAGCCGGATCTGACCTTTTGCTCCGTCCCCCTCCTCCCTGCAGGCCTCTCCCCTCCCTCCTTCCTGCTCCAAAGAGAAAGACCACGCTGTGTGTTTCACACCTAATC